TTTTTTTATTTTCAGGTAAATATGATCTTTTTAGCTAGCCTTTATTTTCACATCTCTAATGTGTTTATTTACAGTATTTTCAGTCTGTTGAAAAAAGCTTGCTATTCACAGGTTTCATAGCTTCAAACTACGTAACCAAGTGCAAGCAGATGACTTATCCTGGTGACGGATAGCAGTGAATCATCCCTTATCAGATACGTAAGCCCAGGATTCAATCAGGGAAAGGGAGCTACAATAAAATAAGCCATTGCTGTGTTCTCTCTTTAGGTGATCCATAGTGTTGTGGGAATTCTTTTAGAAGTTAAAGTCACGCTAAACTCAAGAGGTAAACCTTAAAAATGCATTCGAGTACCTTAACTATTAACAAAAGTGTATCTGATTTGTGTATCACTCGGCTGTAGAACGTCAAATCATCTCTTCTGGAGGGTGGCTACGTTTGTTTCCCATGGTCCCTGTGTGTGTTGTAAAGTAGTCACCGCTCCAAGCCCACTCCTGTGATGGACTACAATTAGGGCGGCAACCAACTAATTGATTCATCGATAATAATTGATAAAGAGAATAGTTGTCAACTATTCTCATTATAGATCAGTTAGTTGGTGCTACTGCACCAGCCCACTACCTGCTGTATTTATATTTGGCTGCTGCCTGCGGAATCTTGCCACTGGCAGCTGTCATTCCCTGGCTGAAGGCATTCAAGTGCCATGTGCTTACAATACAATTATTAAAAGATAAATACAAATGTGGGGAAAAGTCATGTTCGGTTTTGGCCTGACAAATTTTGCTGTGGGAGGTACGTTAAAGTATCATTCAATGGCACCCCAAACTTGCCTCCCACCCATAGTCGGATCGCCTGCACGAGAACGCGAGGTACCTCGATACCGTGGGTTCCAGTGCAGTTTGATCGCACAAAAGTGTGCATGCAGTTTTATTCTGAAGTAACCTTTATGGCTGTAACACTCGGTTTTTGTATTTTATTTTAAATTGAGGATGATATTTATTTAATTTTCTTTATTCGATTAATCGAAAAAATAATCGGCCAACTAATCGATTATGAAAATAATCATTAGTTGCAGCCCGAGCTACAATCTCAATACAAATTAATAAACTAAACGTGAGATTATCGTCCATCACATGAGTGTGCTTGCAGAGGTGGCTCCTTTCCAAAAAAACTGACTAACACACAAATAACACAATACATTCAAATATCAAAAAGCTTGTGTTCTGCATACAATCTGTAGCTCATGTTTTTAATAATATTGGGTAATATATTATTCAAATAGAGAAAACAATGCTCTGGTGGTCTTCAGGACAGAAGTAAGGTAAAATCTAAACTAAAGACATTAGTACTGGGTTCCACTCATCTGAACCTCACCTACACCACCCACTTTGGGTTGTGTTCCTTAATATTGTCCCAAAATAAGGACAAGGTAAATAGCCTTGTTTTTATTGGTGCAAGTACACACCAATGACCTGTGTTGGCGTGCACAAAAAAGACCTGGACACACTGCATTTTATGGCAGCACACTACAACGCAACACAATGCATCGCAATGTGCGATAAGCAAAAAAAAATAAAAGATATCATTTTGGTTCCTGGTTTATTACTTTGTAAGGTAGAGAAGTAGTATTGATCAGCACCTCCACCCAATGCCCATCATTAATTGTAATACATTAAAGTATTACAGGCCAAAATGGATTGAATACTGGTCTAAATATGATGGAACTTTTGAACAGAATTCACACACTTCAGTAGCACGAAAAGCTTTAGCAGTAAATGGATCCTGAAATCCAAGCCATACAAATTTCCAACCTAGCAATCGCACTGAAGAAAGCTACCACCTGTAGCCTTATATTATCTCCAATGGCAGCTTGCAAACAGCAATCGTATTAAGTGAAGCAACTAATGTTCCTAAACCTAATGTTCACATGTAATAATTTATTTTGGGGGGTACAGTGGTATTTTAACTTGACAACTTGGCAAAATTCTGAAGGCCCTTCAGGGACCTCTAATGTTCTACTGTGGTAGATGGATTGTTGTGGCAATATGATTAGATTACATTCCTCTTTAAGAATTTTCCACATCTGGTAATCTTTTTTTTTATTTTTTTTAAAGAACATACCCCTGCACTGATGGCTTTTTATCCAAAGGCTTGAGCATCGATCTCCAGTCCCCTGGGGCTTCTGACTTTGAATCTTTGGTGCCAGAATTTTGTGCTGAAATAAAGAGCGATGATCATTAACGGAGGAAACTGAAATAAAGTCTGAGTCACAGTTGAAAGCCATCAGATAAAGGATAAACAGGAAAAACAAAGAGATGGAATGTGCGGATGACTCATGCTGTAAGTTTATTTCTTATATAAGTAAACCCAGCGTAAAAGAAAAAAACATTTCATTATCACTCACTTTTTGAAGGTGGTTCAGCCAGCTTATGGTCTTTACCTGGGGTCATCACAACTGGCTGTGGCTGTTTTGTGGACTGTATTGGTTGGGAAGAATGTGAAGGTTGTGTAGACTGTATGGACTGCTTAGGAGTTGCAGGCTGTGTTGGTTGCGTGGAACGTATACTCTCTTTAGACTGCTCAGGTTGAGTGGGACGTATATTCTCCCTAGACTGTGTGGGTTGAGAGGGACGGGTAGTCTCTTTAGTCTTTGCAATTTGTGTGGACTGTGTGGGTTGAGGTGGCTGTGTGGGCGTTGTAGATTGTGCAGGTTGTGTTGGTCGTGTAGACTCCTTTGACAGTGCCGGTTGTGTTGGAGGAACAGAACACATAGGGCGTGTAGGTTGAGTAGATTGTGCAGACTGCCTTGGATGTGTTGGCTGCACAGACTGTGTTGGTTGTGTTGGCTGTGATGGTACAGAACTTGCTGTTGCGACTTTCTTGCTTGTGGTAGATGTTGGAGTGGTCTTTGGTGTCTCCGAACTTGAAACAGACGTTGACACTTTACTTTTCCTGTCTTTAGGAACAGGTTTCGCAGGATCTGTCTTGGGTGTGGAAACTGTTGACCCACTATGTGAAGAATCCAATGTCCTTAAAAAAAAGAAAATATTTAAACAATAGCTTATTTGGTGCAATTAGGAAGCGGCTTATTGAATAAACTGCAGGAAATGGATTTCCTAGTGTCTCTCGGGCAAACAGTCAGTTTTAAAGTAAAGCAAAAACTAACCTTTTGCAGACTATAAAATCATCTG